ATATTCTAGGAAATTAAAATAAAAAGTTTGCATGAATGTAGAAGCGGCTTTAATCCAGTGTACGATTGAAAATGACTGGAGGAGGTTTATAGCTTCCATGACAAGCCAAAAGAACTCTGCAACTCTGTACTGAAAAGTTATGATTACAGCGGCCCCTTTCTTTTGTCAGAATGAGGGAGATGAAAAGACAGAATCTTTTTGTCTACTACTCCATTTTATAGGAAAATCCATTTGCAGGGAAAAACCAGACACTTACGAAATGGACCGCCTTTTGTATTGGGATTCTAGTACTCGTCACTATTACGAGGAAATAAGATAGGAAAAATGCTGACGCCTACTTCGGTGTGCCGTGCACGTGACCAAGAAATAAAAGATTGTTAAAAAAGATATGTAAGGAACTCCAGTATTTAGTCTTTTTTTTTTTATTTGGTTAAGCAATTCTTTTAATTGTTTTCTTCCGAAAAGGAAGAAATAAAACTGACTTTGCTATAGAAGCCGTTTTTCATTTTCAATTACTTAATGACCTTTATTATTTCCTAATGACCTTTATTATTTCCTAAACGCATGATTTCTAACAAACAATTCAGGTCTATGGCCATTTTAAACAATCACAAAACACATACGACGTAGGTCCAACTTATTGATCTTGATAAGAGCAGATTTTTACTAAATGTCGGAATGAATTACACAGGTAGATTAGCTATATGATCAGAGTCGAATCCAGGAATTTGAGAGGATGGGTGCACCAAACATCTTCAAAGTAGGGGTGTATGTAGATCGGGTCGGTTCAGATTTTTTAATTACCAAACCAAATCAATAGTATCGGGCTTTTAAATTTATAAACCAAACCAAACCAATAAAGTCAGGTTTTTCAATCTCGGGTTTCGGGTTTTTTCCCAGTAAATTTGTAATAGCACAAAATATGTATATTATTCTCCAAATATTTATTTTAGTCATAGTAGGATACAACTATATAATATATTTTCCAAGAAAATAAAATAATAATATGAGAAGAATCATAACTCATAACATTGTACTAAATATTCAATAACAAAGATAATAAAATTGTAAAAAAAAAAAAAAATCTAATTAATACACCACCAATGCTATTACGCAGATCACTCTTTATGAAAGCAAACAAATAACTGAGATTAACAATAAAATAAGAAATAAAGAATATACCTGCTTAAGGAGTACAAAAATTAGGAAGATCCTTGTGTTGGTAATAGAGATTCTAAAATATCATTCTAGAATTGCAAGATTATAGCGATATGAACCGAGAGAGGGACAGATGATACAATGATTTGGGGTTTAGAACAAGAGATCTAGAGAGAGGGAGGGACACAATTTACTTTTGGCGTGAATCACTGAATTGGGATTGATATTTGGGGGGAATAATTGATATTTGGCATTAAAAAATTAAAAAGAAATAATACATTGATGCTATCGTGCAAAACAAATAAAAGAGAGGAATGGGGGCCAATTGAGGAAATAAAGAAAAGGCCCAACTAGTGCACTTTGACCCATTTTTGACCATGGCCAGCAAGTACTTTTATAAATATTAAGTGAATTATCTATATAATAAATTAAATTTTGTGGGATTAGCATGGGGTCACCGGCACCACCATTTGTTATGCAAATCCGCTTCTGTATGTGATCCAACATTTGAATACACAGTTGAAACAAATCATCATTGCATTTTTGTTGTATTTTGACAACAAAAATATTTTCGGCAAAAATCAATGGGCTCAAGCCATATTCTAAGAATTTGCCCAAAGAAATAAGTAGACAACTAAAATAAACAATTTATAGTATCTGAAAAAACAAATGCATACTTGAAACTCCAATAATTGGCAAAAGTTTTGGAGTTTCGATCACGTTATTTAATTATTTATAAATTTTACCTAAAAAAGAAAATATATATAAGCCAGAACAATTAACTACTGCACATAAAGAAAATAAAAAATATAAAGTAAAGATAAAGTATGTGCGATATATTAGAAGAAGTAAGAAGAACTACATAACCGGAACAAATAAATTATTGTATACGACTATATGACATAATTTATATGACCAAAGATATTATTTATGCGCAATTTATTTGTTGCATTGAGGTGTTTGAAAATAAAAACATGAGACTAATTTAGGGGTCGTTTGGTATGAGGTATAAGAAGGTATAATGCTGGTATAAAAATTTAATACCATCTTAATACTTGGTTAGCAAATCAGGTATAAGTTATTCCAGGATTAAAATTAAGAAGGAATTACAGGAAAATACACTTGACTTCACACCATAACCAAAAATGACCTATATTGTTAAGTTTTACCCGACCTAGCCCATATTGTACATATTTTAAAAGCACTAGCAAATTCAAAATCTGTTTTCTTGCCACCATTGCTTCTAAAAGCTATGAAGTTAAATCTATGTTTTCACAATCATTGCTTTCACTCTCTTTTCTTCTCACATCTTCTAAATATGCTTCAAGGGGTCGTCCGTCATTACTGCTTCTTCCTTGTATCACGTGGTTATAATGTAAGAAAATTGAAAATTCAACATTCCACCATTGAACGTCATTCAAAACTTTGCTTTCAAAAATAAGACTTTTTGAGTTTGTTAGTTGTTTGGATTAGGTGTTGTTCCAATTGATTGAAAATATCAAAAGGAGTTCAAAATTTTAATTTGAAGTGATTTGGTGTAGATTTGAATTAAATTTCAGAAAAAATGCAAGGAAGAAGACGAAGTCAGTTTTTTGTATAATCTTGTATAATAGTGTATAAACACATCTTATACACTATTATACAATTTTATACATCTTTATACAAGCGTCTGTAGACGAACTTGTTCCACGATTTTCAGTTGCAATTCTTGTTCAAAATCACTCCAAATCTCCATTAAATGACTTCAAATTTTATATGCAACCTCCTTATACTATTTCTAATAATTCTAGATAATACTCACTCCAAATTTCTCACAAAATCAAATTCGGAATCTAAACTCACATATTTAAGCTTGTTAAAATTCTAATTTTCACCACGCAAATAGATTTGGTTTGTTGAACTGATATTTGAGTTACAGTTACTGATTCGAAAATTAACTTAAAAGCTTGAGCAATCTTTTTTTAAAATTAAATAGTAATTTTGAGAACTTATTGGAGTTGGATGTTGATCTTAGCCTATTATGTTTGGGCTAATTGGTTGTAAATTGAAATATGAGCTAGAAAATTAAAAAGTAGGGATCACAATTGTTCTTATGTGAAATTTTTCCTAAAATTAACACCGGGATAACTTATACCTTATAGAGGGTGGGGTAATTAGCACCAGTATAACTTATACATCCTTCTTACAAATTATGCAATTGTCATATTTAATACAACATACAAAACAATAGATAAAAAATAATCCCGGCATAACTTATCCCAGCATAACATATCCTTACATAAGCCGTATTCAAACTAAACGACCCCTTATAGTTCATGACAAATTTCGGAGATTGTTACGTATTTTATATTATGATATATATTAGAAATATATGTCCATAATCTTGATCGAGTTCTATTCGTATGAAGAAGAGAAAATAAGCAAAAATATAAAATAGATACTTGCTAATTCATAGATGGCGTAATGGCTTCTTGGCCACTTAAATTTGTAAGACTTTTGAAAGCCGAAACACGAACTTTGGATTTTTCCATTTGAACACTCCAACTTGACAAAATGGGTAATAATAAACACATCCACCAGAGCGTGTATATCAATTGCGCTGACATGTACAACACATCATGCTAAGTTATTTATTACCTGCCATGTGTTATTTGTGGGTCCCATTTTTAAATACAAAATTAGAAAAAAAAACTTACAAATACAAAAAGGGAAAAAAACAACGCCTGAAACATACTAGGTGTTCGACAATTCCACCGTGGGAATCGTCCCCTCCGACGAGCAGCACAACTCCGATGAGGCAAAAATGAACGCGCAAGGTGTTCGAGGTATCCAAATTGAAAAAGAAAGGTACCAAAATATTCGCCTTGACGAGGAGAATGCTCCTACACTTCCAATTTCATATGGGTACCAACCAATTCCTCCAATTTTACAATCCAAAAGCTCAGGCAGTCCGGTTGAGCAAGGTGTTCGACGAAATGCCCGTATCAATTCTGGGCCAATTTCCAATTGGAATCCCTTCTACTATACCAATGGATCCTTTATGCAAAGATTCAGCTCAATCCATTCAAGAAATCAACCATCACCACCAAATTGAAAACTCAGAACTTTACCACTTGGCCGAGCATAGTGCTCCAGGGATAATTGGATCCCAAAACCAGTGCCAATCCATTTTTGCACCCCAAGTGAGTATTCCCAACCCATCACAACCAATTTTACATGGGTCAATCGCGTCGAATATTAAAAAAGGTCCTTCAGAACACTGTTCACCCAACACTGTTCGACCAAATGTCAATCCCCAGTCCGGTCCAATTCAAAGGAATTTATTGATGGGAGATCCTTCCTTAGTACCTATGGAGATAACTTGCCAAGTTTCTCCGCAATCCATTGCAGGAATTGAATATGCTCAAAAAATTGGAAAAGTCTTGCAATCCAATGCGGGAAGATGAAAAAGCTGGAAAAGTCTTTTTTTCCCCTTTTCATTTTTATTTATATTTTATTCTAATTCTAATTTTTTAAGTAAAAACAATACTATTCACGCGCCTTGGCAGCTTGATTTGCACACAGTTTAGCCATGTCAGTTGTAGTGGTTCCACATAAGTATGATTAACGGTCAAAAATATTTGTTATTATCCATTTTATCAAGTTAAAGTGTTCAAATGGAAAAATTCAAAGTTCGTGTATCGGTTTTCAAAAGCGCGAGGAAGGGATTACGCCTTCATACATTAGTATAATAATTAAGTTTGAGTTTAGGCTGCCTGCGTGCTCCTGACAAATTAATTAGACAAGACCTTCAATCCAAAATCACGCGCCTAAATAAGTACTTACTAGTATTGTTCAAAACCTTTTTGTATTCTGTTATCTCCTTCATTTTTGCCTCTTTCAATTCTTATTCCACTTCTTCGGTTCCTAATTGCTTCATCTCTCTTCATTTTGTCTTTCACTATACCCTGCCTCTTCATTTCCTCTTCACTCCAAACTTCTCTCTCTCAACTATAGGTGTCTTCTTTAATTTTCTTCTTTCACTCTAAACAAACAATGGCGGATGATGCAGGTTCCGGTTCCGGTTCCAGCTCTACGGACCAAGCACAAAATCAGCGAACAGCTCAAAAGAACAAGTCTAAACATACTCCTTTTTCAAAAGTGTGGAGCGATGAAGACGAAGTCTCCCTACTTACAGGTATTATCAAGTTCCGTAAAGAAAAAGGACTTGATATACAAACAAATATGTTTGCATTTTATAATTACGTTATAGATTCTCTTATGCTTCGAGCAACATTAACTCAGTTAAGAGAGAAAGTTAGAGCTTTGAGGAAAAAACATGAGAAAAATGTTAGCCGTAAAAAGGGTCCAAAAACTCCACATGAGGTGGAGTTGTTCCAATTGTCTCAAAAAATATGGATGGTTAATGTCAAAGAATCTGAACACCAAAAAGAGTTTGTAGGCGGGAAATCGGAAATCCCAAACACATCGGAACCCAGGCAGCCAGTAAAACAGAACTTACTGGAAAATTGGATGTCTCAGCAACACATTCCAGAAATTGAACAGCCAAAACAGGAAATAATACCGAAAATTGGGCTGGGTTCGCAGAATCTGCTAACATTGCTAAAGCGTATAGCAGAAGATGTAGAACTTGTAGCAAATGCTATGTCACGTTCTCAAAGGCAAGTTGATGGAGAACGGTCGGATCTTTATTTTCAAAGCACAGATTTACTTGTGAAGTTTGGGAGATTGGTGAAGGAGATCAAAGCGAAACCAGAAATGGTAAAATCTTGCTCAGTTTTCTCATTCTTTTCCTTTTATTCAATAGCAAATTTAATCATATTATTCTCATGCCTTAATTAGCATTTATAGAGCTTGCAATTACAGTGTCTTGTGTGAAACTAGTTCTTATTAACATGTCAAAGTCCTGTCTTTGTTTAAATATTTTGGTTTTAAATGGTTAGCATCTATAGTTTTTTTTTGGTAGGCTACGCTGAATGTCTTGTTATACTTCTCTAATAGCTTCTTCACGTATATTTGCCACTCTCATCTTAATGAGCTGTTTTAGGTCCTCTCTTTCTGAATAAAATTTAAAAATCTCAAGTGACTTCTATGATCTTTGAGAGTGTTTGAATTATATTTCAGAGACATTCTTCTGAACTACTTGAACAAGAGATATTAAAAGCCTACTTGGAAGCGAAGATAGAGCACACACAATTAGTTTCAAATGCCTATAATACTTTCATTCAGGTAACCATTTTATCTCCTTTGGTTCAAGAGTATCCTGAGTTTCAATTAATTTCCGGTTGGTTTTTTTTGCAAGGTTGATGTTGTTGTAGCTGCTCCGACCAAACCCATGAAGAAAGGTTTGATCTTTTGCCTCTCTTTGTTTGTGGATTTTAATCTATTGTTCTATTTGCTTTGTTTGTGTACGGATCTTAGAGTTCATGTTGTATGAGCACAAAAATACTTTTTTCATGTACCCTTTTAGCATTGGAAAATCAAAGAATTGTTTCTTGGTAGAGGAGGAGATATTTGGTTGGTGGTGTGACTAATTCGTGCGTGTTTACAGGGAAGAGAGAAGCTGAGAATGAAATTGAGAAGTTAGGGAGTACAAAGAAGCAAAAGAAACATTTGGCTGTAGCACAAGCTGCTGAGAAAAAGAAAAGCGATGCAAAGGCTCAGAAGAAGAAGAAGAAGAAGAAACAAGAAACCAGTTCCTGTGACGATAGCTCTCAGCCAGAAGACGAGAAGAAGGTAATACATGCACTAACTGTTTTCATCTAGCCAAGTTATTGAGTGCAGAATTCTGATTTATATTGTATTTCTTGAACACGGGATGTTTTGTGAACCGGGCTGCCTTTTTCATTGTATTGCGTAGTATGTCTGTTGGCTGCATCTAGATATGTAGTCATATAATTGATAACATGTGGTCTCATTCTTATTTTGTTACTATATGTTTGCAGCTTACTGAAGCAGCGGCACCTCCTAAGAAAGTAACTCCTGCCAAAAATGAAAAATTAGCCAGCAGTTCAGATGACTCAGATTCTTCAGGCGAGGATGAAGTAATACCTCTTAACTTAGCAGAATCTAGCATATTTTTGATATATTTTGACCAGTGATGTAACTAACTCTGCTTCTGTTTATGTATAGGCTCCTTCTAAGAAGGCTGTTGCAACTTCAAGTAAGAATGGTCTTGCTGCTAAGAATAATGATGATCCGAGTGATGATTCTAATTCTGAAGCCAAGAAACCTCCTGCTAATGGCTCTGCTGCAGCTTCTAAGAAAGACGAGTCAAGTGATGAGTCTAGTTCTGAGGATGATAGCAGCAGCTCCGAGGCGGACGAGGCGCCTGCTGCTGCCTCAAAAAAGGAAGAATCTAGTGATGATGATGATGATGATGATGTAAGGGCATATGGAGTTGATGAAATTGGTGCTATATTGATATTTTAATAATGTTACTATAGTTGATTTTCTTTTTTACAGGAGCCTCCGTCTAAGGTAGTTTCTCAATCAACAAAAGCTGCTCAAGCCGTGAAAAAGAATAGTGACAGCTCTGAAGAAACCGACTATGATGAAGATGATTCTGATTCGGACAAGGTTTGACCACTTGATATTTGATTTGTATTATTTTTGTCCTCTTGCTATCGCATGAAATCCTTAATTTATTTACTTAAGTGAGTATTTTACTTGCCTTTTGAGTTTCTTATCATATTTTGCTTGCATTTGCATGTTGTCTGATAATTTTCTTTCTTTAGGGAAAGGCTGCTGCTGTATGTAAAAAGAAGGTAGGCTGGCAAAATCATCATCTTCTACTTTTATTTTTTATTTACTTTGATAAGTCTCCATCTTCTTTTTAATTGTATTTCATAATGTTCTACTTGGCAATAAAATGAACCTTTTCCTTTCGTTCGTGCAATTCAGAAATGAACATCTACGGTAAGCAATGTTTTCTTAAAAAAGCTTATTTTTTTTATAGGTGAAATGACATTACATCCCTTTACTTCTAATATATCATCTTCGACCATGAATAAGGGGCGCCCCGACGAATTTTGTGGCCTAAAGCCAAACTTTACGAGGGGCCTTAATTTTTTTTAAAAATTTATTTATTTATTTATTTGAAGTCTATTTTTCTAGCTTTTCTTATATACAAAGTTACTAATAATTTTCTTATAATCAATAACTCCTAATAAGTATTTCTCAATTGACAATATAACTAACCTACTTAATCTTTCTTGAGACATTGTTGATCTTTCGTAAGATTTTATCAATTTTAATTTTAAAAACTTCTTTCCACTGAAGCACCGATAACATGAGTTATTAACATTATTCCATAAGCAATATAGGCATTTGGAAAAGAATCAAATCTTTTTATTTGATTGAGTGTATCGATTAAAATGTTATCTTCTAATTGTACTATTTTTCTTAATACTTTTAATTCAGAAAATAGATCTAAACCATCAATATATAATTGATTATTATGTTTTAAGGAACATTCAAGATTAAGGCAATATTTTTTTTAATTTTCATCATCTAGTGATTTTAGTTTTTACCGCTAAATAGAAAACCAAAAATATTTTCATATGCTTCGAATTGCTCAAATCTATTTTGATGGTAAAAAATAACCTTGTCTACTATGTATAAAAGTAATCTATGGGTAACATAGGAGACATCTCTATTTTTTTCTCGGGGAATATTTAGAATTTCCACTGGTTAGCTTTTAATTTGCTCCATCAAATGCAATGTGAATAACCCATCCTCTAAAGGACTCTTCGAAAGATTTTGAGATTTCATTATCAACACTCTCATCAAATTGTTACTTCCTATATATCGCACATTTCTTACGAAATTTGGGTTCGATATTCATTTCAAGTGCAAGTTTCCTTGTCAAAAATCTTATAGCAGTTACAAATCCTTTTTCTCTATATTTGTTAAAGAAAGAAATCGAACTTTTTCGCTTCACAAAACTTTTTGTTAAACTTATACATAACCAATTAAGTGTAACAAAAAAGGGGCCCTCACAAATACGGGGCCTAAAACAGTTGCTTTACTTGCTTTATGGAAGGGCCACCCCTGCCATGAATCATTTTAACCAACACGAAAATCTATCTCCCTTTCTTTGAATTGATGTTAGTAATTTGTTAGTCTCGGTTTACATTCTGTAGTTCATTGCTCTCCCCATCCTTTGCAGGTTCCTTCATCTGCAGACGGTGATGATGAGAGTAAGGATGATACTTCTGAAGAAAGTGATGAAGAAGAGCCTCAAAAGAAAAAGATCAAGGTCTGGAT